ACAAGTTATAAATTTAATATGTTTGACACCAAATTTACATTTCTTAACCCTTGCCGTACCGGCCGGGGTCATTTCTGACCCCAACCTGAAAAATATACAAATATGCTAAAAATATTGTTTTTTCTCAGCTTTTTTAAGCTATTAGCATCGCTTAAGAGTAGATCTATGTCGTTTCATCTAAAAGGGAATATACTTATTTTCCATATCGATTCAACCCCCTGATACAAAACTATGTCTTAAGTATCTATCAAATATATGAGAGAAAGGAAAAAAAGTTTCAAAAGATATTCTAATGATTCATTTACTTATCTGAATGGGTATAAATTTTCGATTTTTTGAAAGGAATTTTTGAATGGTTTATAGCTATCCAATCATAAAGGAAAATGACTTATATCGTTGTAGATCAAATATACGATTTACCTTCTTTTTCTATATAAAAGTTTTTTCTCAAATAATCTGCATCTAACTGTGTGTGGTATTGCAATTACGAATATGACCAGTTCCATATTAGAAGAAAATGATTCTGATTATTTTGATGATGAAAATAGTGGTTCGGAAACAGAAGATCATGAAAGTCAAACATCGGATGATGATGATGAAATTGATTTAGAAAATCTTTAGAACCAATCATAAATGACAATTCTGCTCAAGCAAAACGAAAAAGATGTTCTTTTTGTGAACGTTCAAAGGACAAAAAAACATCAACTCAATGCAGTGTTTGTTCTGCGTTCGTTTGTGATGAACATTCTGTTAAACGTATTTTTTGTAACACTTGCTGCAAATAAAAAATGTCATTCTAGTAATTTTTTTTATTGCATCGAATATGAAAATGGCATATTTCCTCAGGGGAGTATCCCAAAGTACAAAAAAATATTTTATGAAAATATATATTGTCAATATAGTACTTAAAATAGGCCGGTACGGCAAGGGTTAAAATGGAATTTTCAATCGATCGATCAAACTAAATTAAAATCAATTGAACAAAGTGAAAATTTTCGATCTCTATCAAATACAAATAAAATTCAAAATTTACAAATTCTTCATTGTTGTTCATTCGATGAAATTCAATTTTTTATTAATTTATTTCCACAATTAGAATCTCTACAAACTGGAGTATTTCGAAAACAAATCGTTCAAATTACACGATGTTTATTATCAAAAATGGATCATTTATTTTTTTTACATATTACAGATATTATTAAAACATATTTAAAAAAATTAAATTTTTTAATTAAATCAGAAAATTTACTTGATGATTATTTGATTAAATTTATTGATCATGATTTATATTTATGGTGGTAGACATTTTATAGTTGTTTAGGAGATATTTTATTGTTTCTTCTTTTCTTATATAATTAGTAATGACTTTTAAATAAACAAGAAAGATTAATTATAGACTTAAAGATCACAAATAAAACGTATAATTATATTGAAAGGATATTTTGAATTGTTATCTATCAAAAATATAACGATTGAGTCTTTATAGAATTGTCACTTGAAAGTTCTTTATTCTTTGATGAAATTTAGGTAAAAATTATTCATATGAAATATGTTCAATCCCTTGGACAAGTTGAATTTATCATCTGTCAGTTAAAATCGAATTTTTATTTGGTTTTATTTAATGAAATTGTGTTTATTCGTAGGTTAATGAAATAATAAGAATTGTATTAGAAGTAAAAATTAATATTGAACGTAGATCTGGGTACAGATATGAGTGAAGTGGGATAGAAGAGAATTAGTATGAGTTTAAGTGTGTGAATGGGAATGACTTGATGCATTATGGTCTTCTTTAACTGTCACTCTGTACATACATTACATGTTGAGGGTTTGAGTATGGAGATGATCTATTCATATGCCATCTTCATTCTTACTATTACATATATCTATGGATAGTTACCTATCTAGTTCAAGAATATGGGTGTGGACATGGCTGCGGATCACAATGGACAGAAAAAGAGGGCTAGGAGCAATCCTTACAATTAATATAGCTAATAACCTGATATTCTGTCGTGAGATACAGATAATCAAAATTCTGTTTTGTGAAAATGCGAATATTGGGCTTTATTTAGTA